GCCACTTTGCTTTCACGAAAGACCAGCATTAGTACCTGTTTTTGGTGACTGAAAGAAAGCCATTATAGAGGCAATGCGCCCCCTGGGCAGCGAGAGTGTCACTGCCAAGCTCCTTTCTCTGAAACTACATTCAGCATCTCAGCATCAGCGTGTCAAACTTTTGTGTCTGGGAACAACTGTGCTTTGTCTCAATTTATTTTGTGCACCATTAGCAAGATGTGTCCTAAGGTGTCAGAAACATCTAAGAAAGATTATTTCTTGGGTCTAAGAATGCTCAAAAATTTTTTCCATATAAATTAATGGTAACTGCTTCTTCACTTTACACCATTTTGGCTTAGGAAAGGTTTCATAGGACCGCTCTACTCTTGGATAGTGGGGGAAACCTGTATTTGCATCCAAAAGCATCTGCACTGATGTGAGTGGCAAATGAAGATGAGGAGTTGGTTATAATGGAGGAGTAAAAGGAATGGAGGCTCTGGGGGGAGGGGGTGTGGGTAGGGAATATCACTTTCTTCATCCCTGTCCACACTAGAATCATTGCTGAAAAAGAAAAATAATCCTGGACAGTATTTCTCCATCTGTGATGTGCTTTCACATACATTTTCTGGCTTTAAGATGATAGAGGAATGGCAGCATTATGTAGGGGGGTAAGAACCCTATTATAGGGTTCAAGTACTGGCCCTGCCACTCTCATTGCTGTGTGACCTTGGACAAGTGACTTAAGCTCCCTAAACCATAGCTTCCCCATCTATATAATGAAGCGATTATAGAAACTCCCACATATATAGTGTTACCGTGAGGACAAAATGACAGGACACATATGAAGTTTTTAACATATTGCTTGGGACACTTAATATAAATACGCTTAATACACAGGATTCCAAAATAAATTGGCCTTTGGTTTCGATGACATCCTAGGAAGAGAGCTGGGGCAGGCGCTGAGATTCCTAACGAAGCGTGCAGGAAACTCAGGCTGAGGGGGCTTAAGGACTTGATCCAAGTCAGAGCCAGATTTTCAATCCAGGTCTGGTGGTTCCCATTTCAGGGCTCTTTCCAGAGTAACACACTTCCTTGACATTGCCAAGGAAGTAAAACAAAATAAAATTTAAATTTTGAGATGCTTCTTTTCTGATCTCCAGTAAACAGAATCACTTCCATAAAATTCACTCTTTCAAGAGAAGGGTATTTTTACTATTGCATATGTGCGAATGTGAGCGATTGTTAAATTTATATTGAAAATAATATACTCTGGAAACTTTTCTTCATTCTCCAGTATCAGCTCCCCCTCTGCTTACTTCCACCTTATAAAAATCAAGTGAAACGCACACCTTCATAGTCTATGCAAGGTGGCATGGCTGCTGTCTGCAGTAGATGTGAATCAAACCAGCAAAGCTGACCTTTCTCTTCTCCTTCATTAAAACCTCCATTTAGGGACACCTGGGTGGCTCAGTTGGTTAAGCATCTGCCTTCAGCTCGGGTAGTGATCCTGGGGTCCTGGGATCGAGTCCCGCGTCGGGCTCTTTGCTCAGCGGGGAGGCTGTTTCTCCTCTGCCTGCTGCTCCCCCTGCTTGTGCTCCCTCTCTCTCTCTCTCTCTGATAAATAAATAAATAAAATCTTCAAAATAAATAAAATAAACCTCTATTTTTTATTATCTCCTTTGGTATTTTAGCATTCAGAACAGTCTGCTCTCTGTATCTTTGCGGCTACAAGCTAGTTAGGAGGATACGAAGGAACGCCTTTCACTGTGTCAGGATCTGGATCCACGCTCCTGCCCTTCCTCTACACCCGCACCCTTTGTCATCAGAAAGTGACCCATATAACACAGGCCGTTTAAGAGAACTGTTTAAGTTCTGCTTTAAGTTCTGCTTAATGATTCACTTTGGACATCGGTCCGGGAACAAACACCATTAAAACTTGAATCTTATTTGTTTTCTTAAACCTAGCTCAGTCATCACCTCCTTCAGAAAGCCTCTCCTCGCTCAGTGGTGGGGTGACTGACCTTACTGTGCCGTCACTGATCTGCGTCGATCACCTTGGCTCTGCTAACCGTGGGCCCTACCATACTCTTCTCTCTACCTCTGGTGTCTTGCACGGCACCTCACCCGTTGCAGACGGGCTAAATGTTTCCTGAATCAAATTAGGAGGTCAGTGCCTGGTACGTCCTCTGAAATGAGGATGATTTCTTCAGGAGACTTACCTGTAAATACCTGTTAAATCATTGTAGTGGAAGGTGTGCCAATCCTGGGGTTAAATCAATATACTGAGTCTGGTAGGCAAGAAGGTGAAGGTTATTGTCAGATGCTAACTCATTCTCTAGGGGGCATGCTGTTCTTCCACTGGTTGCTTGGTTTGGAAGATGCAACGTTAATTAGATTCTCTCTGAGCGCTCCTGCCTACTTCTGGACCGCAGGATGCTCTCCAGAGCTGTCTTCTTTGATCCTTTCTTCATCTCTTCTGATTTTATGCAAATTCCTGGCCTTTCACCTTTGTTTGGATGCCACCACTGTGGTCCACTTGCATGTCTTGCTAGTATTTCCCATTTAACTGTCCAAAGCCAGTGTATCATTAGATTCAAGGCAGAGAGCACAGCACAGAGGATAAGGAGAAATAAAGACACCCAGGCCAACAAACCACTGGATTTGCCTTAGGAAGACAGAGCATTGAGGATCTTGGCAAGGGTAATTTCTCTGGAATCATGGCACACGAGCCAAAGTGGTAGGGGCTCTCACGACCACTGCCTTTGAAAGCCTGGGTCTCTGTCGCTTTCTTGCCAACCCACTAAGTCACCCCCCCTCTCTGGGACTCTGTTTCATCAGAAAGTCAAGGTTTGACTAGATGAGCAGTTCTCAGCCTTGAGTGAAACACCAGATTGCCCTGCAGAGCTTGTTGATATTGCACATCCCATGCTCCCCACCCCCAGACATTCTGATTTAGGAGATTTAGGGGACGCCAAGAAATCAACATTTTCAACATGCTCCAAGGGTGGAGGTGATTTTCCGGACCAGAAACTGCTCAAGTAGATGATCTCATAGTTCCCTTCCAGCCGGCAGATTCCCTCCGTTGTCAGGTTTGGGAAGCAGAGGGTAGCAATGACATGCTGGCAGCCAGCCGGTTCTGTTTGGGAAGTGTAGCCACAAAAAGAAAGCCAGATGGCAGGTGGAAGGGACGGGTCAGGGAGGGCCGCATTCACTGTGTCCCTCGGACAGTGCCTGTGTGATTGAGCTGGACTCAGGGGGACCTCAGTCCCAAGAAAGCAGGCAGGACCGAGAGCCGGCCTTAGCTCACTGCTGGCCTCAGGCTGAGCTGGCCTCCACAGCTGTTGCCCCATTCGGATGCTCTAACAAAAGTTAGAGCTGGGAAGCGCAGCCTACGCAGTGTTGTTTTTAATTTTCCAACACTTAAAAAATGGAGGAGGGCGCCTGGGTGGCTCAGTTGGTTAAGCGACTGCCTTCCGCTCAGGTCATGATCCTGGAGTCCCGGGATCGAGTCCCGCATCGGGCTCCCTGCTCGGCGGGGGGTCTGCTTCTCCCTCTGACCCTCCTCCCTCTCATGCTCTCTCTCATTCTCTCTGTCTCAAATAAATAAATAAAATCTTAAAAAAAAAAAAATTAAAAAATAAAAAAAATTAAAAATGGAGGATTTCACATTTAAATATTCGAGATTTCTCTTGGAAAATCTGACAGATCGGCTGCACGCGACTCGTGGGCATAGGACCCCGGCTGGGGCCGAGCCGCTGCACCTCCTTTAGGTAAAGGCACCATGTTCCAGCCTCCACGGTGTCCAGCTGGCCGGCGGCCTCCCGCCACCCAGCTCCGGTCCGAGCGAGCCTTTGAGTTGGCTCCCCTGACTCTAAAATGTGCTCTGGGATAAGCAAGGGCAGCAGCAAGCTACGTATTGCGAGAGTGTGACATTGCCTGCCCTCGCGGATTCTGGACTCGCCTCTGGATGGGACATTATTCCCCCCCGCGGAAGAACGCGGTGAGAAACCAGTAGAGTGGACCCGACTGCTGTGCTCAGGGTAAGGCTAAGCTGAGGCTCTGGACCTCTCCCTTCTATGGTTTCTTCTCCGTGAAGGCACACGGGAGAAATCTCTTCACAGCCTCAGCCCCAGGATGGCTGTAGTGGTGTTTCCCTTGAAGGCGAGCTGTATGTGTGAACCATGTGAACGGCGTGCAGGACTGTTTCCCTGTGCTCAGCACCAGGCTCACCTCTCAGAAGCACTCCATGGCCTGCCTTGGGGGGCTACCCTTAGGAGTAACTCCATTTTACTTCTTAGTCTTGTTTTACTCTATTTCCTACTTTTATCTTAGTATAAGGTTTGCATCTTTCGAGAGTAAGACCTTTAGTCTTCATTAGAATAAGGCACTTTCTGTACCCTCCATATACCTTGATTATAGCACCTCCTAAAATGTGTTATACTTATCTGTTAGATATTGGCCTTCTCTACTAGAGGATGAAGATGGGGCTGCATTTCATTATCACTGTGTCACTCATACCTAGCCCAGGGACTTGCACGTAGTTGGCATTTAACAAGTATTTGGAGAATGAGATTAGAGATGTTGGAGAACTAGCATAGCAGGGATGCATGGAAGGATCCAGGTGGAGGAGCGGCTTGATGAGGCAGAACTTCGCAGACCAGAGGGACGGAAGGGATCAATTGGTGTGTTCTGTTGTTGTCCTCTCTGACTTAAGGAACATTCCACTACTCCGGTTATAATATCACCTAAGTATATGAGTTTGGAGAATTCACAAGGGTTTTCTGGCAGGGTAGAGTGAAGACTGGCTTTGGAGCTGACTTAGGAGTTTGAAACCCAAGAATGTGTATGTTTCTTTTTTAAATGATTGTGGGGATTTCGCTTAACCTTTCTGAGCCTCATGTACTTTTTGCTTCCAATGGCTCTTTACCTTATCATTTTACACTGTAAGTGAGTCCTTACATGGGCACACCTCAGGATAGAAATCTGAGAATACCTATCTACGCAGATAGACACTAGACATATTCAAACTTATTAAATAATTTTATTTTTTTCTCCTTTATATTACTAACAGTAGCCCAGTGTTCAGCATTTTAGAAAACCTGAAGAAATAAAAAAATTGGGGGTTTACACACACATGTATAAAAATATATATTCAGATAAGCAAATATCTGCTCATTACACTGCCCAACTTTAAGAGTGCCAAAAATAAATAAATAAAATACCTGCTAATCAAATGAGAGGGCTAGATGGTTTTGCTAAAATTCATTTTAACATCTTTAACTGACCAACATGTGCTAATGAAACTCAAGTTAAAGTTATAGCCGGTTAGTATGAAAGAGAACACTGTGTGGCCACTGAGTATTCCTTAAGCAGAATCTGCTTCGTGCTTAGAACACAGCTCGGTTTCAACAGTAAGCAGCAAAAAAGATCAAGAAAACTTCCAACTTTTCTAAAAACCGCCCTATAAAAGAAAGGGAAAAATATAGAAAGTATTACCACCTTATAACAATGGCCATGAAAATCGGAATTGTAGGTTTACAAAGCTTGGATAACGAAAGCCAACACAGTAAGATCCTTGGTTAGTTAACTTTGATTTTTAAAAATCTACAAAACGTAAAATATTTGCTTGCTGGTACAACAGATTTAACCCACGAGCAATCACCTGAACTATCTTTTCCTCATCAAGTATTTTAACAGTGCAAAATGTCAGCTGTCTCAGCTCACACATTCGATCACTGAAGCCTGAAGATGAACCATCTCAGGGAGGTATCGCTGCTGCCAAGGAAAATGCAAAGCAGCCCCCAAAATATAATGATTCACTCCTATGCCAGAGTCTCAAAGGGAGAGAGGCAGTTTCTTATAGAAGAGGTGAAATAAGTAATTCAAAATGTCCACAAGCTGACATAAGATACAGTACTGAACCTTTTGACACAAAAACAAAGAATAATTATATTGCTATTTGGAACAGTATTCAACGTGGACGAGGAGATCCCGGTGTTCGGTGGCTGGATACTGTATATTGCACTTGGGACACTCCACCAGGCTTTCATTTAGTACAGCAGTGGGACTTTTTGGTGATGCAACTTTTACTCTGTTTTCAGACTCTCCTTGGAAAGTGACTAGTGGCTCTGTGAAGGCAAGCTCACGAAGCTGCTTCTGAAAAATAAATGTATAGGAGGTGGTTATAAATTACCCAAGAAGTACTAGGATTGGGTGTCTACATGGATAGATTTTATTAAAATACTTAGAACCAAACGTAAAGGTAGACCTATGTACAAGGCTGACAAAATTTGTTAGTTTTGTAAAAAAAAGGGGCAAGTTCAGCAATAAAAAAAAATAACAGAATTAAGAGGAGCAAAAAATTTTAGCAGATCAAACAGGTTACACACAGAAATGATGAAAATATTGTATAATATCTTAATGACTTTCCTTTTTCATTTTTTTTTCCTGAGGAACTTAGAATATGTCAATAAAGCTTAAAAATAAATATTTTAGAGCATACTCTAAAGATGATAGACAGCAGGGACACAAAGAAAAGTACAGAAAAATTATGGATTCTTTTGTATACCCTCTAGTTTCCTATACTTTGAAAAAGAGTAACAGAAATGAAAATTTCAATTTCAAAATATTATAAATGGTCAAAATCAATGACGTACTAAAGAACAGAGTCAAAATATATTTTGTCTTTTATTCATAAAGAAGCTACAAATGACTTTTTTAACAACTGTTTTTTTTTCCTCTTTCAAAACAGGAATTCTATTTGTAACATTTCACCATCTGCAAATATTCTGCAGTACTAGGATCATGTATAAGATATGTGCTAATGCGACACACACACACACACACACACACACACACACGGATCCCAAGGGGTTTGGCCCAAAGGCTTATTAGTAAGATGAAAGTAGTAAGTCAAAAATCCTCATAGAAAAAATCCTATTTAAAAGGTTTATGTTTTAAAAGATTATGTGTTTAGCTCAATATGCCTAAAACAGTGTCTTAACAGGAACAATCCATTATGACTAAAAATGGCATTTCTTTCTTTCTTTTTAAATAGAAAAACATAGCTTCAGTTCAGGATTTACAACTGCACTCCCTACCCGCCCCCCCCCCGCCCCCAGGGCAGGCCCTGTGTCGTGCCTCTAGAATCCCCATGCTGGGGCAGGAAGAGACGATCCCAGGTACCTCTAAGGCTGGCATGATGCAGAGGCACATAATGTCCCTCTTTCCAGTGCTCTGAACTGATGCTCAAAAGGCAGCTGCTTCAGATGAAGCAGGGGTTCGGCCTGATTTGAGAAACAGCCATTCTTAAGCTGTATCCTCCTAGTTTGGGAACTGATTTGATAAATCAATGGGAAAATGGCAGCAAGAGAAAGAAGAAAATAAGTTTTCGTTTAACCATTCCAGACTCACCAAGGATTCCAACTGTGTTATTTGATTTCTTGCTTTTCGGAGCTCCTTAAGAATTACATGCAGTTGGTGCCGCATATTTTGACGGTCAAGTTTTTCATTTTCAAAGTCTAATGTACATGCATGCATCTGGAACAAATGCCCAGGACAAGACAATTACGGGTTAATATATCCTGTCCCGTTCTCTTGACTAGATGCTTGAACGTTTTTATTAGCACAAGAAGCAAACATTTGTGCCTTCACAGCCAGAATTCATCTGAGTACAATGAGATGTTGATAAATGAAGAAGCTACAGTTGAGACTTTGGTTTGTCTGAGGAGCAAAGCCAATGCTTGAAGTATAGGTGAGTGAGGAGGCGCTTAGGAAGTTGCTGGTTGGAATTTCTCCTCCCCATCCCCCTCTTTGTGGGGAAGGGGAAGAAGGGAAAGAGATGGCTGTTCCCTGGTTTGGAATACACTGAAAACCTCTGGTTTCTATTCTGAGAATAAATGGTATCTCTCTGAGTTCTACTTGAAGTTATAAGGTAGCCCTCTGGGGGAGATCCTGCTAGGCTAGAGTAGGGACTACAGAAGCCATGCGGGGAAGAATAAAATTTGCTAAGGCCAACTACACCCTATCAAAACAATTGCCATCCCAGCTCAGAGAATCTGGCTTAGCTTAAAGATAGGAATATATGACTATCAGACAGAGAGTCACTTAATTTTTTGTTTTTGTTAAAGTTTGTTAAAAAACATCTTTCAGGGGCACCTGGCTAGCTCAGTTGGTTAAACGTCCAACTCTTGACTTTGGCTCAGGTCATGATCTCAGGTTTGTGAGATTCAGCCCCACATGGCGCATGGTCATGGAGCCTGCTTAAGATTCTCTCTCTCCCTCTCCCTTTGCCCCTACCCCCGATCCCCTGGCTCAATTGGTTCCACTCTAAAAAAAAAAAAAAAATTTCATGATTTTCAAATGGTTCTTCACAGAATAGTGTAAACATGAGGAAACATTCCATTTCCTAACAAGTTCAGTGGAATATAGCAGCAACCCCAATAAGTACCTGTTGTTCCAGCAGAGCCACCCTTGTTTGTTCCTCTTGATGCTTTAGCAGAGACGTGTAAAGAAACTGGACCTGTCAGATGTAAACAGAGCCAACACTGTCATATCCGATCTTTTATTGCGTGAGCTGGGACGCAGGAGAGGCTCACAAATCTCACATCCCTATCTGGGACCACACCTGCTCGTTGGGCTGAGTCACTGCAGCAGCTTGTTTAATGGCTATCTATTCAAGCCGCTGGGCAGTCCCACCCTGGCTGAGCGTTCCCTGGGGCACAGACTGCACTTCGATGAACAGCACCCAACTCTGCAATGCACATACCCAGTTCCCTGGGAGTTCTGACATCCACTAATATTTCTGAGTAGGATAACAAAGCTGGCAGTGCCTTGCCGTCCTTGCCCGCAGAGGTGGAATAAAACTCCCAACCATTTCTGCTTCATCTTTTGTAAATATCACTGTTCGCGCTTATAGGCAGAAGCCAGGGTGGTAAAGACTAAGAAGGCAAATGTTATAGACTGTTTTTTAAACCCTCTCTCAACTTTTGGATGATGTTTAAAAATTACTTCCTATTTTAATAGTAGCAATGACTGACATCTACCCAGCCCTTGACTTTACAAAGCACTTTCACATTCTCCCAGTTGACCTTCACAAAAGCCCCAGGAAGCAAAAAGAGATTGTGGTTACTAATTTGACACATCAGTGACCTGCAAGTTAGAGAAGGTAGCTGATTTTCCTAAGGCCACACATCCTGAACTACACACCAGGTATGGACCCCAAATAATGTTTTTTCCAATATTCCATGCTGCCCAGAAAGATTTAAATTAACGGTTTCTGCTGAGGTAGTATGCAATTCTAATCATCCTAACTTAGTAACTCCACCGTCACTGACACAGACAGCCTGCAGAAGGTGGTGAGTATAATGAGAACACGGAAGGTACTGCGTGAATTCACATGAGCACACTATCATCATGATCAAGGTGCCAGCCTGGGAGCCAGCACTGATTCCCCTCTTTGTGTCATACCTTCTGGCTTCTCACACACACCTGCCTCCTTCTCACGGAAAGCCTGCGTGTACATGAGCTTCTCCACGGGAGGGAATTCCCAGTCGCTCACCTCACTGGTTCCTTCTTGCCAAAAGGCCTTTGTCCAAGTACCATCCCTGGCCCCCAATTTCTCCATGTCGTGCTGCCCTGCTTTATTTTCTTGAATTTACTTGGTTATTTAGGTACTTGCTTATGGTCTGTTTCCATTCTAAAGAAGAATCCCATGGCAGGGCAGGAACTGGTTTTGTTCCTTGCTGGTTCCCTAGTAGTTAAAATAGCCCCTGACACTGCTAAGGACCATGACAATTTCGAATTCGGAATCATGGAAACTCTTACTGGTTAGGCTCACCTGAGATAAGAGCTCTTCAGATCTCTTCTTCTCTTCTTCAAGTTTTTCCCTAGCAATATCATTCTCTTCCTTGAGCCTTTGTATTTTCTCTGTTTTATGCCTATCGTCTTCCAGATGTTGTACATCTGCCTTTCTTTGGGAACACAACAGTTGATTTAAATCTTGAACTTCTTTTTGGGTTTCTTCATATTTTCTTCGAAATTCACTAAGTTCAAAACTCAACTGAGTTATGGTCTGTCGTTCAACCTCAAGATCTTTTTTTGCATTCGCCAAAAGATGGTTGTAATATTTTTGCTTTTCTTCTTGAAGATAACCTATGACAAACACATCAGGGCACAACACACTTTACATAATAATATTCCTGAGAAGCTAAAACTAAACACATTTCTATAAATAAGATCTTACAAAATGAAGAGTCAAGAGATAGAGTTGATATTTGATGGAACAAGAAAAAGGAGTTCAGGTACATTATTTGAAGTTAAACTAATAAATAGAAGAACTGGAAATAGTAATATAGCTATTCAATGGGAAGGGAAGGGAAGGTAACTAATGTCTAAAGAAGATAAATAAAAAATGGAGACATAAGCTCATTATTTATATATATAATTACCAAAATTAAAAAAAAATGTTAAAAGCAGCTGCCCTGATGGGAGGGGGAAAGAGAGATTGGGAAAGGAGGGGCAGGCCCTTTTATACTACTATTAAATTACTTTAACAAGAGCTTATATTACTTTGATAAAACACATACACACACAGAGAGAACACTATTGCCAAAGAAAGAAATTAGACTTAGCCCACCACTAAAATCTTTAACGCGTAATATTCTTATAAAGGCATTACAGTAAAGTAATGTTGTCCCCAATTCTTTTTATATTTTCTTTTTTAGCATTAGCTTCATTTTAAATATTCAAACGTGAAGCTCCAAGATTATGAGCCTTGCCTGCCTTTCTCAAAATTAAAAGCTTCAGTCCTGTTAGGGCTGTCAGTCTTTTAAAAAGTGCTTTGCATGGGGGGTTTCTCTTCTTTTCTTAGCTCATCACCTAGAACTGCTGAACCTATTTCCCCATCTGAAAGGAAACAGGGTAAAAAGATAATCAGTGACGAGGCCAACTCTAAGAGCAATGAAGTTAGAGAAGATCTTTGAAGGTGGGGAAGGACATGCACGAAGGAGAAAATTTAATGTGCCTTCAGAACTGCCAGAGATCCGTTACCCTGTGCCTCTATCCGTTTTCAGAAAACAATGAGAAGACAGACTTGCTAACATGGTCTTTCTTACTTCAGTTATAAGACTTGCTTAATTCACTTTCTAACACATTTATAAAAATCTAAATTTGATAAATCTCTCCTTTTGGAAAATGTCAGGCAGGCCTACCCCAAAAGAACATTTTTATACCAGTACCTTCTGATTCAGCCTTTTTTGTCTGCTGTGGGAGTGAATGAGCAGCTGTTTCTGATTTCTGTTCCAACTCGAAGATCTTGGCTAAAAGTCCTTTTACATAGGCCTCCCGCTGCTGATCATACACAAGCCACTGCTGATTTTTCTCCAGAGCCTTAAAACGAAAATGAAAGCAAATCATTAATAAAATAAAAAACTAAAATCTTAAAATGGATAAGGGAGCTCCAGTGATGCAGCCTTTCCCAGTACAAAGAAATTCTCGTGAGTCATATAGAACTGTAAACCACCACTGCACGGCTCACAACTCACCCGGAGATCCTTTCTGACTTCAGGCTCCTTCAGAGCACCTGACACTATGGTTTGCGTCTGTCCATGTCACACTCCGTAAACTAGAACGCCTCTGTGGCAGAGCTGGATGTGCCCTGCTCCAAACAGAGATTTCCACCCAACACACAACTCTGCTCAGGAGCTCCCCACGCAGACAGTATCTCCAGCAATCGCATACTACCTTCCCCCTGGCCCCCTACCTTAGTTTGTTACTGAAAGTGGGGCACAGATTCAGGTTAAAAGCTAGCAAAAAAGACAACTGTCTGGTGGTGCTGGGGAGAAAAGCCTAGAAATTCTTATACAGCATCACCTTGGCAATGAGATTATAACTCTTCTCTCCTTTCTAACCTGGAAGTTCAGTCTAAGGAGATGGGACTGTCCCTTTCTCACTCTTTGTTCTTGATAGGCTGGGGAAGTAAGTCTCAATGACCATTTGGGTAGAGAGGCCATGTACATCTAAACCTGATGTCACACGTGGAAAAGGTTATGGACGAAGCATCCTAGAAGGAGGCCCACATAGTGACATGAACACCCCTTCACGATAGCCAAGCTCATTTGTAGGGGAGCTCATTTGAGTCCTTGGCCCCGGCACCCACGCTATGACCTGTCTGCCTCCACGGGAATGCCTAGTTGAGCAATGACTCACTGCTGGATCTCGATAAATCCTGTTTGGCAGGAGATTTCCCCATTATGAGAGTAAGGGGAGACACAGGCTATCACCAAAAGCTTCCAGTTAATTAATACAATGACCACTCTATTTTGGAGGGAAAAATAACTACTCTTAATAATTTCAGTTCAACCTCTCCCTTGTTCCCCCAAAGTGCGACATCGTTTTAATTATATTAGTAACAGAATTTTTGAAAGCTTCATGACAGCACTTGCTAAAACTGAAGCTATGTTCCCTTAGGCTAACATTCAAATGGTCTGCAGTCTGTCCCTTCCCATCTCTTCAGGTGACAGCCTGGCCATTTCTGGCCTCCACTGCCACCTTGCTGTCCACACAACTATACACACCCTCTGTGCCCAGAATGCCCTACAACTCCTCCCTATACCATCTGCCCACTTAAATCCCACCTCTTCATCAAGTTCCAATGCATCCAAGCTTGTCTTTCAAGCCTCCTCACCCTAAGTGCCCTCACCAAGCTCCCTCTCCTTTGTAAGCCAACAGGGATTTTAATGTCCATTCAATCTATTTGGCATCTTACACTCATGACCTTGATTGTGTTCTGATGATAGTTCTTATATGAACTAGATCACGAGCCCCTGGACAGCTGGGCCCAGGCTTGTTTAGATTTTGTATGGTTCCATTCATGTGTTCGATGTTTCCATAGCAAGTAGCTGCTTGATAAACATGAACGATGGTGACGACACAGAGCGGAGAAAGCATGGTTGCCAGAATCAGCAAGCACCCACGCAGGTCTTTAGCCACAAACTGAAGTTTGAGAGTATTTGGGAAGGGAGGAAATGGCATGAAAGAATCTAGAAGTTCCTTATACACAGTAGAACAATCCATTTAGAATGATTCAAAAAGAAGCAAACACTCTCAAAAAGCTATCACTCATGACCTAAGGAATATATGAAAATGAATTTCAAACCCCTTTGTAACAGAACTATCACAGCTATTTCTATGATTTTCACAAGTGCATAATATGTACCCTTGTGTCATAATTCATCCCAGACCTGTTGGAATCTATTATCATCAATGGTTGAAGAGGCAGCCAGGACGTATAATTTCATATCCTTTGGGGGTGGCCAAAAAAAAAAAAGGATGGTACAAACATAAAGTTCTTGACAAAAAGTTGCCTGGTCAAAGCGGACTGAAGTAAAACATACATACTGGAATATATTTTCAAAAGTGCTCAATTCTTTTTGAATCACCCTGCATTTGTTGTAAATATACTGAAAAAGGAGAGGCTCCCCTCCCCACAGGCTGGCATCTCATCGTAGGGGTGAGATGGGAAAAGTGGTAAGGAACATACTAGACATTTTCGGTTCTATATCAAGGCATCTTCTTTCAGGGTAAGAATTTCTATCCATTAAAGATCTAAACGGCTGAGCTTTAAATCTGAAAAGATCTGTCTATACAAAAGCTCTTAAGTCTAGAGAGTTCCTCTAACCTTTGGTAGGCTCTTTCCATGAGCATCGTACAAACTCATGAGCATCTAGGCATGGGGCTTAAAGAATTTTCCGTGGCTGTTTTCTGTAGAACTAAGAAATGGATTAGAGAGACAGAGGCAGCCTCTGGAATCAAAGACTTAGTCCAGGGCCCTCTAGTCACTTAGCCACACACTTTTCTCTCTGCACCCGTCAGGCAGTTATAACATGAGTTCTCCTCGCAGAGCTTAAGCATTCATTTGTAAAGTGGAGATAATGTACATCTGCTCTGTATTATATACTCAAATTCAGTTGCCAAAAGAGGTAGTGTTGTAGGACTCAAAGAGCATGCACATATCTAAATATGCGTTGTGATATGTGTTAGATGCTAAAGATATCGAATTTTATATCGAATTTTAAATTTGTCCATCTTTAAGAAAAAATTCAATATAAATAATTCAAGTCAACACTGGATGGTAATGAAATCTTCTTCTTTTAAATGAACCTGTCCATACTACTTAAGTATGAAAAACCGAACTGTGGGATGGGTGAGGATTTGAGGGGCAATATTCTGAAAGGCCAGGTGATGGCGATGTTACTTCAGTAAAGTAGTCAACATTTCTTTCCTCCAGGCCTCTTCTCACTGACTTCTGCATTTGCTTTCTTCTCTAAATAGTATCAATAATAAATGGATTTGATGGCCATCAATAATGCTGATTATTAGTTTTGCATCTTTAGAGTCATCATTGTATTATTATCTCTTGCAGCTTTGTGTCCTTTACACATCTGTTAAGCATGCATTTAACATTTCCACTCAAGTTATTGATAAAAATATGGAACAGAAGTGGGCAAAGGTGAAGTCCTATGAAATGCCACTAAAGCTCTTCCTCCTGGCTTCACAGGGATCCATTTTCTGTTTCTTGGGCAAAAACTGTAATACAGGTTAAAATGTTAGCCTATACTGGAGGAATAAAAAATGTAGGTCAATTGACGAAACTGGAATATGGATGGTAGATTACATAGAAGTATAGCGTCCATGTTAAATTTATTAGAGTTGCTATCTGGGGGCACCCGGGTGGCTCAGTCGGTTAAGCGTCTGCCTTCGGCTCAGGTCGTGATCTCAGGATCAAGCCCCCTGTCAGGTTCCCTCCCCTGTGCTTCTCCCTCTGCTCCTACCCCCAATCATGCTCTCTCTCCTCCCCTCTCTTTCAAATAATTAAATAAAATCTTTAAAAAAAATAAAGTTGCTATCTGTACTGTAGTCATGTAAGAGAACATCTCATTCTGAGGAATATATACTTAAGTATATAGGTTTAAGGGGTCGTAATATATGCAACTCACTCTCAAATGGTTCAGAAAAAAAATATTATGTGTGTGTGAGGGGCAGGGTAGGGACTGAAAGAGAGGTGTGAAATGGAGCAAAATGTTAACAATGTTTGAATTTTAGTAAAGAGTATATGGGTGCTCTAGGTACCATTTTCATTCTTATAACTTCTCTGTAAATTTGATTTTTTTCCAAATAAAAAATTAATAATTATTTATCTGCCCTAAATTCTATTTTAAAAATTAGATTTTTAAAATTAAGAGCAGGAAATGCCTATTTCAACTGCCTCTTAGCCTATCTGGTTTGCAAGTTAATGACACTGTACAGTGTTTACAGTACGAACTCCATGTAATTATTTCAAAATGTCAGCCAGACCTAAATGGTAGCTAAGGAATGATACAGCTAGGCCTTAAGAAAGGTAAACATGGGTTTTTAGGGATTATTTTAGCAGAGCAAATACTGATTCTTAAAATAGGTGGGCAAAGTGCTCCAGGAAGCTTTGTGGGAGCTTGGAGGAAGGGTGAGGGACTGGAACTGCTAAGCTCTCAAAGCAGGATAATGCGGCAGCGCCTGTGCTCAGAGGAGTGACAGGTTGCTTTCCCTGCTCCCTAGTCTCCTCCCGGGCTCACAGACAACCAGAGCTAAACCATCCCCTGCTCCTCAAATATGTAAGTGAATGCAGCAGCAGCAGGGAGCTTATTGGAAATGCAGAATCTCAGGCCCTATCCCAACCAACGAAATCAGAATCTGCATTTGATGAAGATCCCCTAGGCTCATATGCATGTGAGAGTCAGGGAGGCCTTGTTCAGTCTAGACCATTTGAAGGTGAGCTGGGTTAAATTTTACTCCACTTATCTAAAAGCCTTTCTAGGGGCGCCTGGGTGGCTCAGTCGTTAAGCGTCTGCCTTCGGCTCAGGTCATGATCCCAGGCTCCTGGGATCGAGCCCCGCATCGGGCTCCCTACTCCGCGGGAAGCCTGCTTCTCCCTCTCCCAATCCCCCAGCTTGTGTTCTCTCTCTTGCTGTGTCTCTCTCTGTCAAATAAATAAATAAAATAAAATAAAAAATAAAATAAAATAAAATAAAAGCCTTTCTAAAGTAAACAGAGCAGAGGAGCACAATGTGATCCTTAAGTAAGCCTGGAAGATAAAACAGAACAAAAAGATTGGGTACACATGGATAACATTTCCAAGTTACCTTCATACAAAGAATTGTCATTATCTAAAAATAACTTTAACTGATATTTGAAGCAGTTGATGCTGAGAAGCCTAAAAATTATATATATAGCATATATTTTCAGGTACTAATAAAATTCAGATGTTCTAGACACTGGGCATATAGCAGTGAAAAAAAAAACCACAGAAATCCTTCCCTCATTAAACATATACCAATGTAAGACTCATGTAACAAAGTAAATGAGCAAAATATATTGTAAGTTTAACAGTAATATGTGATGAGGGGAAAAGTTACAAAAGCAGGAAAAGGTAATAGGAATTGTCTGGGAGCTATAATTTTAGAAAAGGTGGCTAGGTAACACTCTGGCCCTGGCCCCACTACCCCCACCCCTCCCACCCAAGAGAGTGACAACTGAATATTATACGATGAAGTAAGGAAGCAGGTCATGAAGATATCTGGGGGGAACAGGGTACCAGCAGAGGGAACAGAAAGAAAAGGCAGTGTATTGAAGGAATAGCTAGAAAGCCAGCACGGCTGGAGTAAATAAGGGGGAAAGCAGGTGTGTAGATAAATTATTCATAGCTACGTGCATCTGGTAGGTACTGATACAGAATGATAAAGGTCAGTGTAACATACAACACAAAGAACTTATTTTGAAAGATCTTTAAAAATTATGTTTCTTCTTTATCTTAGTTACCTATAGGTGAAAAGCCTACTGCAGTACATCACGATACAGACACTCAACGGATTTAAATTCTTTTGAAGATCAAATAGACCTCTAGGTACACTGGCTAGATGAAATAAAACAGGAATCTTAAGAGCAACTTAGAGCAGGGTAGAACCAGTAATATTTCTGGAATCAAAATACCTATCCACTGGCCTAATAATTAACTCAAGAATTTTATACTTTGTGTATCTGATATTAAAACTTGAAAAAATATACCGTGAATAATAGTCCTATGTCCTCAATTTATTCAATTCTCAATGAAACACATCAATCTATTTAAGACATAAGTTTGAAATAATATAGCCTTACCAAATATCTAGAATAGCCTCATAACAGATTCTATAGAAAAGAAGTACTGAGTATACAAAGAATGTGTTTCCTTTTCAAACTATGAAAGCATAGCCTGGTTCCAAAGGAAGAATTTCAAATGAATGAGTACATCTTGCATGGATAAACAAAAAGAGAAGAAATTATAAATTACACCATAATAATATAATAATTGGGCAAATTAGATTTAGGTGAAGAAGGAACGTTATTGAGCTATTTGGATGATTTCTAGGGCTTTCTCACCTAATGAGACCAGGACTAGAGGAACTGGCCCTCTTGAATGTCTAGAAAGAGACTTATAGGTAGTAACCTAGGGAGATGATCTCAAACCATTCAGTTCTCCATCTCCTCAACAGACTGTTTTCAAGTCACAGCATCAACTCTATCAATTTCCATGAAATTTAAGAATGAATGAATTAATCCTCTCTTCCCATAACATAATAAAAGGAAAATGAGGGGCACCTGGGTGGCTCAGGTAATGATTGCAGGGTCATGAAATCAAGCCCCACATCGAGCTCCATGCTGAGTGTGGAGTCTGCTTGTCCTTCTCCCTCTGTTCCTCCTCGTGCTCTCACTCTCTCAAATAAATAAAATCTTTAAAAAAATAAAAAGAAAATGAACTTACATCTTTCAGCTGTATTTCCATTTCATGAATATTATTCATTGATGAGTTGAAGCAGCTTGTAGCCACTGTCTAAAATAAACCAATATTAGTTAATACCGTAAATTTAACAAGAGAAGTTTCCTCATTATATCTAGCTCTATAATAACAGAGTATACTTCACAAAGAAATCTTGTAGATGCTGATGACCCATCATGCCAGGTGATGGGTACCAGAGGAGAATGAAGATCTCCTGGAAACTCCTTCAGCAGATTGGAAGCCCTGAGATTTCATACCTAATTTGAGGTTCTCTGGATCATTAGAATACCTCAGTGCATAAGAATTGCCCAGTGATTTTCACCAAAATGAGACAAAACAAAACAGTCAGGCCATTTAAGTGAAATCTGGAAAATATTAAATTGTCAAACAAAAGATAAAAGTTGTTTTCTAGAATTATATTTGTATTAAGAGTATTAATTAGTATTAGTTCATACAGATTATATAGAACTCAAAACATAATTTCTCTCTCTCTCTCTTTTTTTTTTGATTTTCACATAGAGGAAAGAAAGAGAGGTTGGATGGTTGGATGGTTAGGTATCCAGACTAATCAACAAAATTCATAACAAGCTATATTTCGGTCTTCTAACAGCTTTAAGGAAACAGACTTGTGTGAACATTGGCAACAAATCACAAAATATTTTTCTCCAAAGGTACTCTAGATGCTCACCTCGTAGCCCTTTCTCCCTCTTGATTTAGTCCTCTTGGTAAAAACTAGGGCAGAGGCAGTTCACCAAACTTCCCCTTCCATTTCCCCTGGGCACGCTGTGGATGGTATTTCCCAGCCTTCCCTGCTAAGGTTAGTGAGACCATGAGACTGAATTCTGTCCAATGGAATATGGGTAGAAGTAAAATATGCCAATGCCAGGCCTGGCCCCCAGACCCTCCCCTCATGCTCCACACACTCCCTCTAGCTTACAGCTGTACACGGAGGATCTGGTGCAAGGACAAGGGAGCCACTAAAAGGGAGGAACCTGGATCTGAGTGACTCTGCAGAGCAAAGCCTCCCACGTGCACTAGACTGTGACATGAGGGAAAAATGAACATTTGTTGTGTAAGACCATGAGATTCGGAGGTTGTTTCTTACAGCAAAAGGAAAAAAATCTGGGTTTAAAAAAATGATGAGTACCTGTGATAAGCGAAGTGTACTGGCTTTGCTTTCAAGTTCAGCAAGTCTTGCAGTTGTAGCAGACAACTGTTTTTTCAATACATCTGTCTCTTCAGACAAGGATTTCAACAGCTGTTCCCTCCTTTCGCCTTCCTTTGTTTTCTCCTCCAGCTGTTCAAGCAATGCAGTATTGCTGTACTTGGCTTTCAGCTGCTCTCGGAGTCGCTGTATTTCTTTGTCTTTCTCTGTGAGGTGATAAGCATTCTTTTCCCTCTCAGCTTCCAGGACTCGAATTTTCTAGATATAAACTAAGAAAAATCTTAGAACAAAGCCAGGTCAAACATGAAAATAAACAACATACAACAAGTATTTATGAAGGGTTTATTATACATCAAGTCAGCATTATACTAAACACCAGGGCCAAAAAGAAAATGAAGCCAAGGTCCTACGCTCAGAGACCTCATTGAGAGGTAAACCAATACATTAATGCAATATGCTAAGGGATATCTGAAATAAATGGGAGACAGACACAGAAAGGAGAAACCAACTCTGTCAAGAGTGGTAAGAGAAAGCTAAAGAAAAGCTGGCTCTCACATGAGTATCTGATAATCATCCTTCCATCATACCAGTTTTAATCATCTTAAAGGCTAAAAGTAGTCCTACAAGAGATACATGCTCATTAATGAACTTGAAGCAATAAACTTAAAAAGAACAGAATGTTACAGCTGGATAAAAATGCCTTCATTAACTTGTTTTGTTAATAAATGATTTGGTATCAAATGTAAAAGATGATCTTCAAAGGAGTGTTCACATTTTCAAGGATTTAAAACATACAGAAGGCATGCTTGTTAAGCTGCTGCTGACATAAAGGAGAAAGCACCTCTGGAGAGCCAATAAAAAGTTAACAGAATGACTTTACATGCTAACCTGGTAAAAACAACATAAAACTACAAGCTTGCTTGGGGGTGGAAGGGAGAAGCAGTTGTTCAAACATAAAATGGGGAGACTGAGTTAGATGACCCTGTGAAAATGATGAGGGGATTTTAGTTGCCTCAAGCCTAAGATAAGGTGGTAGTATGATACAGTTAAAAAAAAGGCCCATATAATTTTAGGCTTTTGGGAAGTACAGCATCCAGATTACTGGAAATAATAGTGCCATTTCAACCCGTGTTTGCCATTGTGCACAATATTGGGTGCATAATTCAGAAGGAATATGAACCCATCACAAAGTGTTTGGGAAAGTAACCAGGATGATAAGAAGCTAGAAACGCTGAAGAGTATGGGGTTGGTCTACAGAAAAGTAAGAGAAAGCAAGATTTCCTCAAATATCTGAAAAGTTGTCATATGGATAAAAAATAGACTTATTCTATGCGGCTGTAATAGGTACAATTAGAACAAATGGGTAGAAGTTAGAGGAATTTAATTTTAATTGATTATAAGCAGACAAAGTTTTGACAACCAGTGCTTGTCAAAAGTGGAAAGAACTGGAAAGAGGTCTCTCAGGGAAACTATTAGATTCCATCACCAGATTGCAAAATAATCTTTATGTCTAAGAATTGGTAATAGATCATTTCTCAATGCTTGAATAAGTATTTACCTCAATATGTGTTGTTAAAAAAATAATAAATCTTTCAGTTTTATAGTGTGCTTATAAAATAAAATTTAAAGGAATCCAATGATACTATTCAATACAGGTCATTTATTTTCCAACTATGAGCAATAAAAGAACTTTTACAAAATAAATTAAATTAAATTAATGATTACTTTTTTTTAAAGATTTAATTTATTTATTTGACAGAGAGAAAGAAAGAGAAAGCACAAGCAGGGGGAGCGGCAACGGAGAAGCAGGCTCCCCGCTGAGCAGGGAGCCCAATGCAGGGCTCGATCCCAGGACCCTGGGATCATGACCTGAGCTGAAGGCAGACGCTTAACCAACTGAGCCACCCAGGCGCCCCTAATGATTAAATTTTTAAATCTAATAAGTTCCTAACTGCTTTATTGACTATGCCATAACAAACTGTAAATCAGAGAATCTGAAATATAGTTTAATAGAATGCAAAATGCCAATATATGTAATGATTTTACCTCAAAAAATCTGAAAACAAAGATTACTTGGAAAGCAGCCAATATATATGATAAAATGCATTTTTAAGCACTCACATTAAAATCTGAACTCTACTGAACACTTTGAAATTAATTTTGATTTTTTAAATTTAGTGAATGAGCAGAAAAACTAAATTATATCACTATTGGGAAAATACTTTCTCATCTCCTACAGTACAGCTTATTACAATTTAAAAAGGTTTTTAAGGTCACTCACCTCCAAAAGCCTGTGTCTGTCTTTATCAGTCAACTTTCCTTTTCCGCTTGTGATTTCATCCACTGATGTTTTTAAGGCTTCAATTTCACCCCTAAATTTTTCTAATGCAGTTTCTGATTTGGAGTTACTAGGCTTTGATCCCCATTTACCTTTAATTAAACCTTTGGGACTTCTGGAAGACATCTCTGAAACTGTAAAAAATAAAAATACAATTATACTTAATTAGTCTAAGTTTAAAAGGTCAAGTCTCAGGCTTGAAAAGGTCTAATAACCTATTTGCTAAATAGAAGAACATTTCTCTCTCAATAGAAGTGATATAGCCAAACCAGTGGGATATGGGAGAGGGACTGGGAAAGGCTTCTGGCTTGCTGGTATCAATATCTATTTTTTAATCTGGGTGGTAGATACATGGGGAGAATTCACCTTTTAAAAATATGTCAACTTATCTTGACGCACACTGAGTAATGTACAGAATTGTTGAATCACTATATTATACACCTGAAACTAATATGACACCATATGTTAACCATCCTGGTACTAAAATAAAAATTTTAAAAAATATGTCAACTTGGATGCTTATGTTTTGTGCAGGATTCTGTATGTGTATCATATTTCAATGAAAAAGTTTCATTTAAAAAGAGGGATCAATGATTAAATCATTAAATGGAGGCTGAATGAAATAGATAACAAAGACATATTTTACCCAGGAATAAAAAGCTAGTGGTAAATGATATATAATTCTGAGAACATAGGCACTGAAATGTCATTACCTGACATAATGATATGTCCTGTATTAGAAGATAGATCTAGTTCAAATCTATGTAAATAGTCAGCTGAGAGTACAGTAAGCAAAAGTGAGGAGAATCCAAGATCAGGAAAAAGAGGCACAATACTCAAGAATTAAGAATAAGAGGCCAAATTAAGTAACAAGAAGCTTAGAACCTGCTAACAGTATTAGTTAACAGTTTAGAAGAAGTGTGTATTAACTCCTGGAGCAAAATCTGTAGTGAAACATACTGCGTATATAATAAAAGTAGCTTTAATTAGGGAGATTAAAAAGCATTTTTCCACCTTATGGATCCCAAGATAAAATAATGGTGGTGACTGAGAAATTTAGAGGAATATGAGACCATTCATGCATTCAAAAAATATTGGAAAATCTAATTTACCAGGCAGAATAACAGATGTTGGGTATAAACGGGCAAAAATAAAAAAAAGAGAGAGAAAGAAACAAAAGAAAGAAATGTTCCCTTACATAGTGGAACTTCCACTCTAGTAAAGGAGGCAAGAAATAACAAAGACACAAATTCTTAAGTTGTAAAGGTTCTCAAGTTGTAAAGTTAACACTATATAGAAAATGAAAAGTAGTGAGAAGTGATTCCAGTAAAAATTGAGGAGACCTAGGCCTCTCTGTAAAAGTAACTTTTAGAATCATCCTGTATGAAATCAGAGAGCCTGAAAACACTAGAGCTGTGTAAACTGAGTTGAACAGACCATCTAGCAAAAGGTTAGTCCTGGATTTTTGCCTGTTCAAGGTGACAGACTAAGATAACTAGTCAATCAATTAAGGCTAAGGCAAGGTTATGCTATCTTGAGAACCTGCTGCCACAGGAAGTTCTTCTCTATATGGTTCTGTTACTAACACATTATTGACTTGGTATAATGGGTTGATAAGACAGAAAACGGCTTTCAACCAAATCACTGAAACTCAGAATGGTGGAACTATATAGGTCAGTAGAACGGGAAGGAACCGATGGACATTTCTTCCTGGCCTCTGGACACAACTCTTGCAATGAATGACTCTTTTGTTTCTAGCTTCTGGACTAGACCCTGCTGGGATCTTCCAGCTCCCCACCACTTAGTCCCACCAACCACCTTTCCCTGTTTTTTCTATTCCAGTCGGGCTGATACTCACAGGGTTCACACTGTTCAAACTTTGACCCACTGCATCTTCTTCAGGAAGCCTTCCCTCTGTATAAGCTAACATGCCATAGGACACAACTGTTTACTCCCACCCTACATCCGCTTTTTAAATTTGTTCAACAGTTGTTTCAGGGGCCGAACCTTGAATTATTTTTATCCCTCACAGCACCTAACAGCGGCTGCTCAATATGTATGTACTGATTGGCTGAAGTGATCTTAGACATGCTGGACAGGGGGTGACCAAGCAAACTGCGATCCAACAACCCGCACAAGGCATGGATTACAGGCCACGTCGTTCCCAAGTGGAGGCAAATCTTACAAAAACGGGCGCCTGGGTGGCACAGTGGGTGGTTTCAGCTCAGGTGGTGATTTCAGGGTCCTGAGATGGAGCCCCAAGTCCGCTCCATGCTGGCACGGCTGCTTAAGAGTCTCTCTCCTTCGCCCTCTTGTGCGTAGGCTCTCTCTCTCAAAATAAATAAATCTTTTTAAAAAATCTTACAAAAACCCTGACACAGGAGCTGTGTGGGCAAACAGGGAGGCAAAGAAAATCTGCAAAATGAGGCACTTTTTCCCCCCACCTCTAAAATGAAGATGTTTGTAGAATAGACATGAACGTGCTTGGGCAAAATGATGTTTCACCAAAGACCCTGGCCAAGTCACTTGGCCTCTCCGCGCCAAAAAAAAGGGAAGGAGGAGGATGATAATACCCACCGCAAAGCTGAAAGGAAGGGTCGACACGCCGACGATCGTGAGGCTCCCAACCCGGTGCCAGGCACGAAGTAAGCGCCAGGGAAAAGGGACATATATCAGGGCGGGCAGAGATTGAGTCCAAGCCGACTTTGTCGGCCCGCGATCCCGCCTCCCTCACCGTCCGATCTGGCCTCGGGGCTGCGGGCCCTGGCCGCCCTTGCCTCCACCAGCCGGCACCTGAGGCGAAGCCCGGCGGACGCGCCGGCCCAGGCACACCCTGCGGCACCGGCGCCGCTTCCGGGAGTTTGAATCCCGCGGCTGCGGGGCGGGGCACGTCACTGCCGGCGGGGGCGCGGCCGGTAGGACGGGGGGGCGCGGTACGTGCGGCGGGCTCGCGGCTCCCCGATTGGCTGTGGCCCCCAAGGGGGCGGGGCCTAGAACCTGGACGCGAGGCGAGACGGAGGTGGGTCTGAGGGGGCGGGGGCAGAGGCGCAACCCAGGACGGAGCTCTTGTTCCTGGGTCCTCAGTCCTATTCTGGGGCTTTCCCTGGGCGTTTCTGAAGACTCAGACCTCAGGCTCGGTGTTTCCCTGTAAGGAGCTGATTTGTGTTTGTCTGCTTTGGGGATGAAGCACATTACTGTGTTCAGTGAGCTAAACCCAGTAACTGAACTGGGACTAACTCGTTCTGTATCCTTGATATAATTTGCCCTTCTAGGTAGCAGATTTGCGCGTTATAGGATGGGAGAACTGCATTCCCTAAGGGAGGACAGCCTGTCTTCCCACTGGGCTGAACCTTTCTCTTGCCAAAAGTCAGGGGTGGAGTACTGGGGAGTGTAGCAGGTGGGAGAATTGATAGGCACGCCAAGACTGAACTCGTAGATGATGAGCCCTAGAGGAGTCTAGGCAGGCGTTTGCTCCAGATTGCTGCCCTCTGGTTTGATGTCTATAGGTCAAGTCTGGGTCATGCTTAGCCACTTTAGGGGCTTTATTGCTAAAACGAAGAGGGCACAAAGAGTGTTTGACAGAGCCTAAACTTTCTCTCTTAGACCAAGTGTAAACTCACCAGAGACTTTATAAGAGGATACAGTAGCAAAACATCCCAGGAAAGCAGTGTCACATAGCAGTTAACTCTAGATTAGGACTGCTTTTAGCTCCTGACTGCCTCTTACTGGATGTGTGATCTTAAATAAGTTATTTAACCTCCCTGAGCCTGGGCTTCCTAATCTGTAAAACAGTGCAAATAATATCTACCCTATAGAATGGATATAAGAATTAAATGGGAGAATCTGTGTAAAGTGCTTGCCATTTAGTAAATGCTCAACTGACATTAGCCATTATTACGTAAGAAGCAACAAACACCCACTAACTGCATAAAATGGATGAGAAGCTGTGTAGAGAATTTTAAAGAATTTTTTTTAAAAACACAGGAAGGTAACGTTTGGTCCCTCCTTCCAAGGGGCTCACATTTCTGATGGAAAAGTGAATAGAATTGGGCTCTTTCACATCTGTTATGTTAAAGTATCAGATGGGATTGGGGTGGGAGGAAGTCGTGGCAAAAGACAAGGGAGGGTGTGAATGTTATGCATTGCCCACAGTTGAGAGCAAGGGCAAAATTAGTTCCCGTAGAAATTTGCAAAAATTCTTAGTGACAGAGAAAGAAATCACCCTGCTTAGTTTTGAGCCAAATGGGGAGTAAAGAAGGGAGGGAGCTGGAGGGGACTCTCTGAAGAGGACTGGTACCCAGCAGACCATACTGGCAGCTGAGGGCCTGGTGCCTGGGCCTGCTGGGCCCCGACACCTTAATTACACATCTGCTCCCAGGTCCCTCTCTTCTGGTGGGAACTCCCTCTGTGACTGGGGACCCCTGAGGAAGAAGAGCCAGCAGGAGGCTCATTGGTCCTGTGGCTTGTTGAATTTTGTAATTGTCATTATTAGACCTGAAAAATCAATGTTTGCTCTTCGCAGATATGTGCTGCCAGGCATGAAGTGTGAGGGGTTGTAGTTTGCATAAGGCCTCACAAAAGTGCTAGTACTTTGATGTTGACAGCTTACTCTGAGGGATCCTAGGGCAAGGATACAAACAAAAATGTAACAGCCAAGCCGACTGGATCTTTATTTCAGCAGGTTAGCTCATTGTCCTCCCAGTAGGAAAATCTTCTTGAGAAACCAAAACAGTACCAAAAGGCTGCCTTCATAAAAGGAAATAGTGGGGCTGTTCTAGATGAATATGATCAACAACTTTGAAAGATTAGGTCTTCCAAAAGGATGCTGATGAATGCCCAGGGCCTCACCAGCAGATACATCTCTGTTTTCCAATACAACTTTCTGCAGTGATGGAAAAGCTCCTTCCGCTCTGTCCAATATGTAGCCACATATGGCTGTCGAGTGCTTGAAATGTGGCGACTCTGACCGAGGAACTGAATGTTTAATATTAACTTAATTTTAATTTAAAAACTGGTCATGGATTCAGTTACTGGAAAACCTTTAAATATGTTTGGAACAACTTGGCTACACAAACCTATTTTTTCAAGTGTAAGTTTTATGAAATCTAAATACAGATGTATTTCTAATGAAAAT